TAATGAGCTGGGGTTCTATCATTGTAATATTCTTACTTCAAAAGACTAGCGCACTGGAGTTCTTGTCCTCAGGATTCCAAAGTCCTTTTGATTCTGTGGCTGATGTTCCGTATTTGTCTCCTGTTTAGGTATCCGGCAGAATGGAGAACTCATCCTTCACCTACAACTATGAGGATTTTGAGTACTACAGAGATATTCTGGATATGCCCGTGGACTGCCCGAATGGCTTGTGCTTTGCCACCGACCCACTCCGCACAGCGCCACTGCTGCTGTATGCGGTGGTCTTCCTCGTGGGAGTGCCAGGCAACGCCATGGTGGCCTGGGTGACCGGGAGGGAGGCCTGTCAACGTATTGTGGCCACCTGGTTCCTTCACCTGGCCGGGGCCGATCTGCTCTGTTGTTTGTCTCTTCCCATCCTGGCAGTGCCCATTGCTCAAGAAGGTCGTTGGCCATATGGAGCAGTGGGCTGTCGGGTCTTGCCCTGTGTCATCTTAATGTCCATGTATGCCAGCGTCCTGCTCCTGGCCGCCCTCAGTGCTGACCTCTGCCTGCTGGCCCTTAGGCCTGCTTGGGGGATGGCCACTTGGCGGACACACATGGTGCGGGCAGCTTGTGTGGCAGCCTGGGCCCTGGCCTTGCTGTTGACTGTACCGTCCTCTCTCTACCGCCGGCTGTACCAGGAACACTTCCCACCCCGGCTGGAGTGTGTGGTCAACTATGGTGGCTCAGCTGCAGTTGAGGGTATGGTGACTGCTGTCCGATTTATTTTCGGCTTCTTGGGGCCTCTGCTGGTTGTGGCCAGCTGCCATGGTGTCCTCCTGTGCCGTGTGGCCCGATGCCGTTGGCCACTGGGCACAGCCATCATAGTGGGTTTTTTTATCTGCTGGACCCCTTACCAAGTGCTGGGGCTAGTACTCACTGTTGCTGCCCCCAATTCTGTTCTCCTGGCCAGAGCCCTCAGGGGTGAGCCCCTGGTTGTGGGCCTTGCCCTGGCTCACAGTTGCCTCAATCCCGTGCTCTTTCTATATTTCGGGCGGGGGCAACTGCACAGGTCACTGCCAGCTGCATGTCGTTGGGCCCTTCGAGAGTCCCAGGACAAGAATGAAGGTGTGGTCAGCAAGAAATCCACCAGCCAGGACCCAGTCTCAGAGATAGAAGTGTAGGCTAGAGAAATGTGTTCCTATCATTCAATCCTGTTTCGCAAAGTTGGCTTCAGGCATGGCTGTATCCAGGGGTTCATCAATGTGTTTATATACAATAGTCATTTGTTGTTCACCTGCTATGTGCAAGGCCCTGTCTAAGCACTGGGGATATAGTAGTGAACAAAACAGATACAGTTCCCTGCTCTCATGAAGCAAATGAGGGTTCTGAGCTAGGTAAATATAGGATACCCAGTTAAATTTGAATTTCTGGTAAACAGGGAATACTTTTTAAATATCGATATGCCCCATGCAATATTTGGGACCCTTGTTGTTGGCAGTTGCCATCGAGTGGATCCCCGACTCACAGGAACCCCAAGCACAATGGAATGAATAGCATGTTCTCCAGTCCTGAGCTATCCGCTGTGGTTTAGAACGTTGTTATCCACAGTTTTCAATAGCTGATTTTCAGAGATAGATCACCAGACCTTACTTCCTAGTTTGTCTCAGTCTGAAATGGAAGCTTCACTAAAATCCATTCAGCAACACAACAGTCTCCACTGACAGACAGGTGGAAGCTGCACATGAGGTATGTTGGCCGGGCATCGAACTTGAGTCTTCAGCATGTTTATCTGAAATTCAAGTTTAATTGGGCATTCTATCATATTCCTCTTAAATATGGCAACTTTATTCTGAGCAAGAGAGTGTCTTGATTGACTTAGGTTTTGATAGAATTGCTCCGGTTGTTGATGAAGACTGGACTATGGGTAGAAGGGAGTTACAAGTGTGGAAGTGTACCAAGCCATGACAAGATACTGCAATAGTCCAAGCAGCAAGTGAAGGTGACCGGAACCGGGACAACAGCAGTTGAAGTTGTCAGAAACTGAGTGACTCAGGATCTTTCTCTTTGAGCGTTTAAATTTTTATTACACATAGAACATGAAAGACAATAAAGGCTATGTCATAGGCAGTACTCAAACTGTTTTCTCCAAATCTAAATTCTGATATAAATGATGTCCTATTTCCCATATATTATATTTAGTGATAAAACAGAACTCAGTTAAATGTTAGGCATCTATTTTGAAGAAGTCCTTGGATGGAGCAAACAATTAAGCAATTTGATGACTAACTGAAAGGCTGGCAATTTGAAACCACACACATTGCATCAGAAGAAAGACCTGGCAATCTGTTTCTGAAAGGTGACTTCCATGAAAATCCTATGGAGGACATTCTGCTCTGACGCGCAATAGATCTCTATTGAGTTGGGATCAATTCCCTGACAGCTGGTTTTACGTGGAAGGGAAAGGCCATACAAAAGTTTCTTACTCAGCTTGGTATTCAAGTAATCCTTCCACCACGGGACACACTTATGTTCTAGTCTTTAAGACCCTGTGGAACAGTGGATAAAACCCACCTCCCCAAGATCCACATACTAATCTTTACATGGCAAAAGGGACTTGGCAGATGTGATGAAGTTAAGAATCTTGAGATAGGGAGGTGATCCGGGATTATCCAGATGGGTCCAATGGCATCACAAGGGTCTTTATAAAGAGGGAGGTGGGAGAGTCAGAGTCAGTAGTGGAAGACCTGATAACAAAGTAGAAGTGGGATTGATGTGAGAAAAAGGCCCTGAGCCAAATCATGTAGGCAGCCTCTGGAACTGAAAAAGTCCTAGAAATGAATTCTTCCCCAAACCTCCAGGGAGAATGTTTGGCCTCCAGATCTGTAAGAGAATAAATTTGTGTTGTTTTAAGTTACTAAGTTTGTGTTCATTTTCTACAGCATTAGTAGAAAGCTAATACAGAATAATTTCATTCTGCTGTGCATAGGGTCACTATGATTCCGTACCCGACTCGATGGTACCTATCAACAACAATACAGACCGTATGGACACAACTCTATTTTCATGGTTCTGGGTCATTCTACAAGCTGGTGTCAGAACATCCTTCTTCTGACCTGTGCTGTCCAATTTGATAATCATGAAATGTTTTGTATTCAGTGATTAACCTAAAGGTTGACAGTTTGAACTCACCCAGTGGTGTTGCGCAAGAAAGATCTGCCAGTGTGCTTCATAAAGATTATAGCCAAAGACACCCTGTGGAGCACAGTTTTATTCTGTAATACAGGGGTTGTCATGAGTCAGAACTGACAACCATGACACCAAGGTTGTTTTCTTAACTGTCTGTGGCTATTCAAATTTCAATTAAATGAGTTACAATGGAAAATTAGTTACTCATTTGTTCTGTCTAAGTGCTTTAATAGCTATATGTGGTTGATGACTCATACTGAACAGCACACAATCATAGAACATTTCTGTCATTGCAGAAAATTGCGTTGGACAATTATACTAGAACCTACCCTGTTTTTATCTGCTCTGGTCTTTTAAGTGACGTTGCAATAGCAACTGTGTATAAAGTCTGTATTAATTAGACTGGGTTCTAAAGAGGAGCAAAACCAGTAAAGAGTATATATTATTGTTAAGTGCCATCAAGTCAGTTCTGCCTCATAGCAACCCTGTATACGGTTTCCAAGGTAATGGATTACAAGCTAGGCTACTAACCACAAGGTCAATAGTTTGAATCTACCAGCTGCTCTGTGGGAAAAAGATGAAACTTTCTGGTCCTGTAAAGATTTACAGTTCAGAAACTCTATACAGGGTCACTGAGTCTGTTTGTGGTTTTGAGCTGCCAATCTTGTGGTTAGCAATCCAGTGCTTATCATACAGTGCCACACCATATATATTGTTGTTGTTGTGAAGTGCTATCAAGTCACTTCTGACTCATAGCAACCCTGTATAGGGTTTCCAAGGAGTGGCTGGTAAATTCGAACCAATCTTGCCACTCAAACTGACGTTGTAGTGGTCCAGTGCATTATCTCCCAGTGCCACACCAGGACTCCCACACCATGTATATAGAGAGATTTATTTCAAGGAAATAGCTCACACAATTGTGGAGGCTGGCCAGTCATAATTCTGTGGGTTAGGTGGCAGGCTGGAAGCTTCCTGACAAACCCAAAATCTGCAGGTCAAGCATCAGGCTGAAGAATTCTGACATACCAAGAACAAGACATCAGTGGATGACAAGACAGATGGAGGATTGAGAGAAACAGTGAGCTTTGCTAGAACATTGGTGTAAGTCATCAATGCAGGCCACACCCCCAAGGAAACTCCTATTGTGATTGGTTGCTCACATCAGATCACAAAATGGGAGGATACATAGTGTCTTCCAAACCACTGAGGAGTATAGTCAAACCAAGTTGACATATAACATTAACTGCTAAGTCATTACTCCAGGACAGCACTTTATACAAGAGGTGATTAAAAATAATAACACGGAAAAGTGGAATTAAACAATAATGGGTTTTTCCATAAATTTTTTATGTCCCCTTGTACAGAGTTTTACTTTTAAAGTAATCCAAGGTGAGATGCTTCATTTTCAAGCCTGAAAGTCATTTGCCCAAGATGATGCACCAAACAAATTGTAGAGCTCGCATTCTGTATACCAGGATTCCTTGACTCCCATATCCATGCTCTTAACCACAAAAATGTGCCTTCAAAACCTCTGCCAAATGACACCTCCCCCAGAGACCCCTCCCTGATTCATTCACCTCCCAGAGGAGGACAGGCTGTTTCTCTGAGTTTTTGAACCACAAAGTCCCAACTAGTTCCAAATTCCCCAAGGGCAACAACTGGGGACCACTTTCCTTCCTGACTCTCTCCAAACTTTTCCCCTGACTCCAGGACTTGGAAGGAACCAAGCTATCTTTATTTGTCTGTATCTTGTTTTCTTCTCACTAGACTTGGAGCTCATAGATGGTGGGACTTCATTCTTGCTATCTTTTTGTTTTATATGACGCAGAGATACATAGCACATTCTCAATGATACAGGTTTTCTTCATTTGTACTTTATTCACAATTCCTGTGCATGAAATCTTGAGACCTAGATACCTTGTAGAATTAATTCTATTCTGGGACAATGTATACAGCTTCTTGAAAAGTGGGAAAACTCTTGTTACTCCATTGGAGCTGAGCATCATCATGGAAAGCTATTTTTGGTAGCTTAAATGACAGAGTCTTTTGTGGCTTTTTGGTTTTTGCTTTTGTGTTTTGTATTTTAAAAATTTTGTTTTCATTTCTTTTTGCAGTAGCCTTAGGTTTTGTTAAGAGAAAATCAATTTCATGGGAGTTTTTGAATGTACTTCTGTGCAATTTTACAGAGAACTTCCTTCATCATTAAAAGAAACAGCTTGATTTTTGCTTGTTGGCGTGCTCCCTTCTTTGTTCCTAAATTTCTTCAGTTGTATCTTTTGGTTTTCTCTATATTTTCTATTATTTTGTTGTTGATATTCATAGACTGTAAGGAATATTGCATTTAAGCAATTTGCAACTATATCACATATTTGATGTTTACCATTGATAATAAACAGTACGAGGGATTCTGTATGTTCTGGCACAAAAGGCGGTCCATGGGGGGAGGGAGTAATCTTATGAGTTATTGCACTGGGTGGTGACACAAGTCCTAGTGACAACATTGTACCTGCTCTATATTCCAAGGTGCCTCTGGGTTGGTTTCAGGTGCCAACCTTTTGGCTAACAGTCAAGTGCTTAACTGTTTGTGCCACCCAGGGATTCCTATGTTGGTGGTGGGGATGGTAATGTACCATGGTTCTAATCCTACAGTGTCACATTATAGTTGCAGCACCGCAAGGTCGGTGTGAACCACAAGGTCAACAGTTCAAACTCACCAGTCACTCCTCAGAAACCCTATACTGGGTCGCTATAAGCCAGGACCAACTCAATGGAACTTAACAACAACTACGTAGGTGTCCTGGTGTGGAACTATGGGATAAGCACTTAGCTGCTAACCACAAGGTCTGTGGTTGAAACCCACCAGTCTCTCCTTGGAAGCCCTATACAGTGCCGCTATGAGACCGAACAATTCGACAGCACTTAACAACAACAACAAAGGAGCGAGAAATCAGCTGAGAGAGAAGAACCTACTACTCTCAAGAAAGGAAAGGCAGGA